CAACTGCTTGCACAGCTGCCAGCAAAGTCAGTACAGTTGCAGTCTCCAAGCTACCAAAGGGAGATTGTCCATGTTGGGATGGAGGACTCGGCCCTCGTGCAGAGTCAGCAGGTCGGGACGAGGTTCCAGTCAACGGTATTCCTCCCGGGACCACCTCATCAGGGCGCAAACCATGGCTGTCTTGGCCACCATGGGGTGATCAGGATAGTGTTTGTTCCGTCAGACCTCATCTTGCCTAGCACTCTTGTGATGAGTGGGAATGGAGAGAAGGCGTAAAACCTCCATCCTGACCACTCAAGCTGGAAGGCATCTCCTAGGGAGGATGGGGTCCGGACCTGAGAACAAAACCCGGTACAATGTGTGTTCTGCGGGGTAGCGAACAGATCCACTTCCAGTACTCCCCAGATGCCAAACAGCCTGGAGACCACTTCTGGGTGGAGACGCCATTCGTGGCAGGGATTGGCTGACCTGCTGAGCTAGTCCACCAATTGATTGTCCTCCCCTGGCAGGTGCACTGACTGGAGCATGATCTTGTTGGAGATGCACCAGTCCCAAATGTGAATGATAATTTGCAATAATGTGTGAGACTTGGAGCCCCCTTGTTTGTTCAAGTAAAACATGACTGTGGTGTTGTCTGTCAACAACAAGACCACTTTTCCTGCCAGTACAGTCAGAAATGCCTTGAGAGTCTTTTCCACTGCTAACATCTGTAAGGCACTGATGTGGAAGCTTTTCTCTTGCAAGGACCATTCTCCCCTGACAGGTCCTGGGTGTGTGCTCCCCACCCTTCCAGAGAAGCATTGGTGGTGAGGGTTATTTGAGCCCGAGAGGGTAGAAAGAGTACTCCCAAACAAACATTTTCGGGTTCAAGCTACCAGATAATGACTTTGCCACTGTCCTCGGTCCTGTGAGCCACATTGATGGCGGGTCCTTCACGGGGTCAAAGACAGACAGGAAACAACACCATATAGGTCTGACTCACAAACGGGCCCACTGGGTGATGAAGGTGGTTGATGTTATGTGTCTCAAAGCTACTTGGATCACATGTGCCATGACCCACCTGTGTGTGAGGCAACTCCGGATAGCCCTTGAGAGTGCCTGAAACCTGTCCTTAGGAAGAAAGGCCATAGTCCTAGCCGAGTCAACGAGAGCCCCAATGAACATGACTTGTCTTGCAGGTGTTAATTTCAATTTCTCTATGTTGACCACAAGGCCCAGAGAGTCCAAGGGAGTCAATGCAAATAGAAGATCATCCCTCAGCCTTTGGGGTGATGGTGCTGTAAAGAGCCAGTCGTCAAGATGGGGAAAGACTGTGACCTCTTTCTGTCTGAGGTAGGCTGCCACAGGTGTCATGCACTTTGTAAACACTCTCGGCACTGTGGAAAGTCCAAAGGGCAGGACTCTGTACTTGTAGAGGTCAGTCCCGACGGCAAAGGCGAGGAACCTCCTGTGATCTCTCCGAATGCTGATATAGAAATAGGCATCTTTGAGATCCAGAGTCACAAACCAATGTCCTTTCTGCAAGAGCGACAAAATAGAGTGGAAAGTTACCACGTGGAAGTGATGGTAACGCAAACAGTCATTCAATTGTCTCAAGTCCAAAATGGGCCTCAGGCCCGAGTCCTTTTTAGGCACAGTGAAATATCTTAGAAAAAAAGCAGTATCGAGCCCGGGATGGGTCCATGGGTTCGATAGTTCCTTTAGCCAACAGTGAGTAGGGTGTCTGAGGGGGTGGTGGACAGAACAGCTCCAGTGGTAGAGAGCTCCTCGAACTCAAGTGCATAACCCCTGCAGACAGTGTCTAGCACCCAAGAATCAGAGGTGATTGAAGCCCAAGTATTAAAGCCTGAAGTCTGTCCCCAAAGGGGGTTGTGACAAAGTGCGCAGCCCCGCATCATTGTCTCCTCTTGCCTAAATCCGCGGTCTTCCTGCGGAAATCTTGCTAGTATCGAGGAGGAGGCTGTTGGCGCTGGCCCGAGGAGGAAGAAAATTAATGCAACGGCCGCCTTTGCCATTGCTGAGACTGCTGTTGGCTTTGATGCTCTTGTTGGTAGGAGTATTGCTGGTATGGCTGATACCACTGAGAACGACCTTCTAGCGAGCTAAGTTCCTTGCTAGCTGTAAGAGCGGCGGATGAAAGGAACTGGAGAAAGAGCGGGAACACCAGGGGATTTATAGGGATGGGCTGAGCTACCACCAAAAAGTTTCAACTGAAGTTGATACCAAAACTGTCTGAGCTAGCTGTGCAGGCACAGATGTAACCCATTTGTGTGATTTGCAGAGACCACGAAGAAGAATGTACACTTCTAGTTGAGAAGACATAAAAAGTCTTGATATTAGAAAAGCAAAGAAGTTCCTACCTTGAGTTGTACCCATATTGACAAGCTCTATGGAGAATGAGCTCATTCAGAAGCCTACAGCTGTGTAGGAGATGAAATTTCAGCAGGTGAGCATCACTTGCTGAAATCCTCTTTTGCATTGCTCTTAGAAGTTCAGATACTCTGTTCTTTGGCCTGCTTCTTGCTAGAAAAGGAGTGGAACTCATGTGAGACTTCAAGGACTGATGAACTGCAGCTCTCAGCATTTTTCACTATTGCATATGCAGGCTAGGACTCACAGTCTGACAACATCTGCTGGATGACATGGTTCCCAGCTTGGCACAGAGCAGCCAAAGGAGCTATGTGCCTCAGAGATAAGATTGCCAGGTTTTCAAAATAGCAATAAAGGACAGTTGAAATTGATGAGAGACAAGATTGACAATGAGGAAGTAGCTATTTGTGTTCTGCCTAACTACCAAATGAAAATACAGATTTCAGGTAATCTAGCCATATATTTCCCTTTAAAATTAACATATTATCTGCATCCAAAAATTGCATGGTGCACACATTTCTGTTTGTATGAAAGGCCTCTCTCTCTCTCTCTCTCTCTCTCTCTCTCTATATATATATATATATACACACACACACACAGTACAGGATTTTTTGGCATCTTGTTCAATCTACATAAAAGAAAAATCTTTCCACCCTTCAAATGGGGCATTCCTTATATGAAGGAACAGCGGCCAGCCCTATAAGGGATTCCTTATCGTGTCAGATAAGGGGAATTCCTTAAAACACCTGGCAGGCCTACTAAAAAAAAAAAAGTCTGAGGCTTCAAGAGCATGTGGTGTTCTACCATTCAATTGTTTTTTTCTCATTTAACTTGGGATTTCTGGTTTCAAAGAACCAGGCAATAGTAACTTGTTCTTCAGAGCTCCTGTTTTCACTAGTTGTGGCTGGTTTTGTTCTTGTGTTTGGTTCCTGAATGCTTCGCAGTTCCAAAGTCAACTTGTAGTTTGTTACATTTATATAACTTTTCCTGCAATGAGTTCAAGATAGTCCTGTGGTTCCCCCTGAACTGTTTCACAACAACCCTGTGAAGTAAATCAGGCTGAGAGTATCCTGCAGATCTTCTCTTCTTATATTCTACTTTCCTGAACTGTGGCTACCAGTCACCATATGGTACCCCAGCCTCCTCTCTGGGCATTATGGATGCCTGTCTTTGCCCACTGGTGCTGTGACCCATTTTCTGCTGCTATCTGATCTCTCTCCTAATACAGTGGGCCCTTGGTATCCACTGGGGTTTGGTTCCAGGACCCCCTGTGGATACTAAAATCTGTGGATGCTCAAGTCCCATTATCTACAATGGCATAGTAAAATGGTGCCCCTTATTTTAAAAATGGCAAAATCAAGGTTTGCTTGGGGGAATTTATATATATTTTTTTCTAAATATAATATTTTCAATATTGAAATGGATCCATTTCAAACCATGGATGGTTGAATCTGTGGATAAAGAATCCATGGATACAGAGGGTCAGCTGTATTGTCGCCGTGAAACGCATGCTAAAAAGTTACCTGGTTTTGATTCTGACAGCTTACAAGTTGCCATTTTGTCTTTCAAACTGTGGCCAGCTCTAGTTAAGTCTACAAGCTACTGCTTTCATATAAACCACATGTTGCCAAACTTCTTAGGCCCTCCACACCCATCTCTACCTTTTTTGGTGCCAGGTCACCTTGCGTTATTCATTGTAAGTAGGCATTCAGTCATAGCCAAGATTAATGCACCAGTTGATTCTCTCCCCATATTCTGCTGCCCATTTCAAGAAGAAAGACATTTGTACCCCCCCCCCCCCGCCACACACCCACTTAGAGATAGCGCTCCTGGCTTCAGTGAGAGAGAAACTGACAAATGTGCTCCCAAAGTAATTCTGACTCTTTGAAAGAAGAAGGAAGAAGGTGGCCATTGTGACCTCATGTTGCTGCTGCCTTGCTTGAAAGTCACACAGGGCCATTGTGACCTCCTGCTGATGCTCTCTGTCTGATTGAAAAAGGTAGGCCATTTTGACTTCAAACTGATGCTGCCTGCTTGAAAGGGAAAGAGTGGCCAATGTTACCTTGTGTTGCTGCTGCCCAAGTGAAAGAGAGAGATAGTGGTTGTTGTCATGTGCCTTCAAGTCATTTTCGACTTATGGAGACCTTAAGGCAAACCTATCATAGGAGTTTATCACACGGAGGCAAATCCCATGCAGAAATGGGCTTTTCAAATCCGCTAAACACCTGCAAATGTGGGTTGTTTTTCAGATGCATTGGCAGAAAGAGAAATAATGCAAAAATAACCCAAACGGAAAGTTGACAAAACCCACTCCTTTCTACTTTCAGAATTTCTCTTTCACGCAAATGTCGTCTGAAAAACAACCCGCAATTGCAGGTTTTGTCTACTTTCTGTTTGGGTTAACCCCAAACGCCATGTGAAAAACAACCCACAAAAGCCTGTTGTTTTCACTTTAAATCTAGTT